AAAGACTAAAAATTAAACTTTAAAAATAATCATATTTTATTTCAAGCTTCATCTATCAATAAAAAAACGTAAACAATAAATCAACATGTAAAAAAATCATAATCGTTTGTTTGAACTTCGGTTTTCAATGATTGTAGCTTCATTCTTTTTGTCGTTTTTAACAATAAAAGTTAACATTATGATAATTGTTAACAATGCTTGACTGAATTCGAAAAAACCTAATAAAATAATATATGTTGGATTAATGAAGCCAGATATGAGTGAAGTAATTATTGGAATACATGATATAAGGGATACTGGTAAAACACCACTGAGTAAACAATGCATGAGAGTAGTATTATAAAACGCCATTATATATCCAACATATCTCAAATATTTTAAATTTTTCGGAACAATATTGCAATTGGCATTAATGTGTAAATCAAAGTGTTTAAGCCATTTGTATTTCTCCATCATTTCAAAACCACACATATTTTTCTGCATTGCTTGCATAAATAAGTTGGATTCATTAATCATTTGATATATTGGATGTTCTTCTAATAATTTGTTATCCTGAACAACACCATGGAAATAGGCTGACATAAAACTGATAGCGAGCACTCCTACTATAAACATGATAAATGCAGTTAAAATGCTAACATCACTGGGTGAACATAACCATTGTAAACATTGTTTGATTTTCGACATATTGTTTTTCTCTCTGATTTAACTTTACTGTATATCTTTAAATATAAAGTGAATAGACGAACACAATGTAAATTTTCCACTATAAAATATGGATTAGTTTGAATAATCTCCAATAAACAAAAGATTATTCGATTCATTGTTTATTCCGACAACAATAAATACAAAATACCGAATATGTATGGATAGAGTTATTATCAGTAGTATTTCAAACGGAAAAACTAGTATAGGTTCATTACTCTACTAGTAAAAGCCATAGTAATAAGTGTTACATTCCATTGCACTGATATGCAGCGACATCTATTCTAGCGAAAGTTATTTAATAGAACAATGAACCTTTAATGATTTCTTGTTTAGAAATAAGCCATTTTTTTTTGAGTATACCAAGTTTTCCCATTTTTCTTTTCTTTGATTGAACAGAGAGTTCAGATTGCCCATTGTTCACCATAGATCATCCAAATTGATCCATATTTTATAGCAGAAACAATTACATTGTGTTCTTCTATTCACTTTATTTTATATATACAATAACGTTAAATCAAAGAAAAAAAAACAATAGGATGTCAAAAATCAAACGATGTTTACAATGGTTATATTCACCCAGTGATGTCAGCTTTTTAACTGCATTTATCCTGTTTTCAATTGTATTTTTTCTTGATGGTTTAATGTCAGCCTACTTCTATGGTGTTATTCAGGATAACAAACTATTAAATGAAAATTCAATATATCAAATGATTGATGAATCCAACTCATTTATGCAAGCAATACAGAAAAATATGTGTGGTTTTGAAATGATGAAGAAATACAAATGGCTTAAACATTTTGATTTATATATTAACGCCAAATACGATATAGTGTCGGAAAATTTAAGAAGTTTGATATGTGTTGGATATATAATGGCGTTTTATAATACTACTCTCATGTATATTTTACTAAATGATATATTACCAGTGTCCGTTATATCATTTATATCATTTATATCATTGATTACTTCATTCATATCTTGCTTGATTAATCCAAAATATATTGTTATATTAGGCGTTTTCGAATTCAGTCAAGTATTGTTAACAGTTATAATTGTGTTAACTTTTGTTGTTGTAAAAGAGAAAAAGACCGAATATCAAATGATAGTATATTCAGATGTAGACAAATCATCCTGATTAGTTTTTTTTTCATGAATTTATGTTGTAAAGTTGTTTATTCGTCGGTAAAATATTAATGAAATATACGCATTGTTTACTTTAATTGTTTTGCTTTACACTTTCGGTTATGTAAACAACTCAAAGGATATCAATTACTTCATAGACAAAAAAAACAGAATTTGAATGATATAGATTATTGTTATAAATTTTCATTGATATCAATAAAATGTCAAAAGACAAATGAATTTGAAGATCAATTTCAACAATGATGTGTTTTCATGAGAAATTTAATAAATTCTTCTTAAAAATCTGAAAAAGTAAACATGAATTGTTCTTACTTGAAAATATCCAAAACATAGAATTGATAACACTGGATACAAAAATAGATCGTTAGTATAATTAATTAAACAGAAAAAGAAACCCATATTGAATTTTCAATATCATTTAAAGTATTTTTACATATTTTCAAGAAAAACCTATTTTTTTATAATATTTTCATGATATTTCTAATTCATCGTATTCTTATATCAAATTCTTCTCGTCCATTTTATCTTCTTATCAAATAACTGTTAACAATCAGTTAATAGCTTATCAAGATACTTAAGCATCATTGTTTTTTTAAATTTATTGTTTTCGTCAGATAATAATCTTTAGTATAATCAATTGTTATGGTTTGTTCCTATTTGATGAATTAATTGTGCAATAATTTTTCTGGTAAATGAATTGATGAAATGACATTAGGAGCTTCTGCCGTTAATAATACACTCAAAGTGATGCATCATTGTTGACAATGGAGGAAGTTGAGATGTTGTTTGTTAATGATAAATATCCATCAAATCCAACATCGATGTTTTTCGATATTTTATTTACCTTTTCTCACTTGCTTTACTTTTTCGAAATCTTCAACTTAATTCATGTCTCATAGTAACTCTCATTTAAATAAATTTCAAATAAAATAAATAGATTAGTTAGTTTAACTCTGGATAGATCAATCGAATTAGCAACTGACTTTCATATTGTTTCGTCTTTTAATAAAATAAACTAAGACTAAACGGTATATTTAAGATAAATTTTAAATGAACTAAAACAATAAATAACTTCAAGTCCAAGTGAACCAACAATAAAAATATCAATATCTCAAACGATCAATGAAATCTACCTCCTTAACAAACAACGAAATAAATAAATGTTATTACCGTAACATTTATTAGAACTAATAACCGAAATTTTAATAAGTTTTTATTTTTCCTATTGATTTAAAATGAAGTTAACTTAAAATAAAAGACTAATCAACATGACAATATTCTTTACAAAATTAATTATTTTTTTTTTATTTCTAAAATAAAATTATTTTTCTCTATTGATTAAAAACTGCTTTTAGTCTTTCAATAGTTTCGGGAATTGTAGTTGTATTTGGACTTGCTGGATCTTTTTTTTATATTATAAAATATATTAAAAATATACAAAATAGTCGAGTTATTCGTACTAAACATGAAAATAAAGGTGATGATCGAAAAAACAAACTAAACAGATATTAATTTAAAAAGGCAATAGATATGAACTTTAAAAAGACGACGACAGTATCATCCGAGAAAAACCAATCAAATAAAGAAAATAATTGTTGAACAAAATCTTTTATTTTATTCTCAATAAATTAAGAACAAAAATTTTAAAAATCGATTAAGAATATATTTATAATAAGTAAGAATAAGTTTTCAAATAATCTGTTCTAACCACATTAACTTTATCTATTCTATAATTAAATTTCAGCGTCACTTATTCATATAAGTTGCCACGACCCTTTTAAAATAATGATTAATCTTTTTTTCTCAATGTTTTTTGTGCGTTAGACATTGTCATTAATTGATAAAGCTTTATTTTAAAATAAAACGAAAATATTTCGTATCTTATCGTCAGCGATTTCTATTGGCAAAGCATAAAACTAAATTCCTGTAATTTTTTTTATTGAAAATCTATTCTGTCAAATAAGTTGATCGTTCAACCATTCGTTTTCTTAAGAGAGTTTCTTCAACATAGAATTCAATTGGTTCTATTAAATGTATAAATGTAGTCCAATATTATTTTAATTTTATTAATCTTGAGTGAATGATTTCATCTTAAATTTTTTGAGACAAAGGATGGGGGCGGCTAAGGCCATTTTTCAGCCCACTTTAGAGTTGATTT